GCGGGCTTCCAACTTCAAAATGGGCGCTCTTACCTGCGAGGTACCCACGTACGGGCCCACCAAACTTTTTTTCGAGTAGGTTGCTAACTCGAGGACCTGAAAAGCTAGAGGACTGGAATTTTGAGGGGATGTTCGCTCTCCAAGTAGGTATTAATGAGTTCAAACCAGCCCTCGGGTATGCATGGTACGTACGTACGAGCTCGCCAAAATTATTTTCGGGTAAGTTGCTAACTCCGAAACCAGGAAAGCTACAAAACTGGAATTTTAAAAGGATGTTTTCAGGACTAGTCTCATTTGTCTTAGCTAGTAGCATTTGCCGGAAAAGCGGCCGTTAGCGACGAAAATCTGCGGAAAACTATGCCAAAAACGTATCTTGCCGGTAGTCAGTGCGCTGGCCATTTATTGGATCTAGTTGTGGCTTCTCCTTTTCATCCCTCTTCTGTGGACTCTGTGCATCTTTATGCCACCACAAGTGTCTGAAAGAACTCTGTTGCAGTTGGCTTTGATTAAAGCATTTGCGCCAGTCTATCCGCTGATCCAGCTTGCCTATTATTCGTGCATGTATGAGCAGGCGCAGTCGCTGCATAGCCCGGCGGATACTGCTGTGTCAGCATCCTCCACTGCATCAGCAAGTATGTTATCGTGCTGTTATTGGTTTTCGCTTTCTTGTATGCGATTCAGCGGTATAGCTGTCACGATGTACCAGTGTTCATTTACATTTGCATTACCGTTGGGAAGTTTGCAGTTCACTGTTTTACCAAAGTACTGATGACTTTAGAATTATTTGTCCATGTTCTTGACGTTACCGTAGTGTTCTTTTGCAGGATTATCGCTTGATTCAAATGGAATAGTTGATGGATTCTTGACAGTTGAACGGTTGTGGTATCCTGACGGACGTTTCCTGGTCAGAGAGGATCTTGAAGCCAATAGCGCAGTAGCTAATGGGTAAATTATTGTTAATAGATATTCAGGATTCAAAATACTCCATTCTTTAGAACCCTGACCAAAGACTATTAATTTTTTCACTCATAAATTCAAAAACTTATTCGTTCTTATATTAACTGGAAGAGTGAAGTAGCAAGATTTTTTATGCGGATTTTTTAATAGCAAGATTATGCGGATTTTTTTAATCGTTTGAGCAGTTTGCAGGAAGAAAGTATTGCCGATAAACGCTCTCCTTATTGACGGCGTATGTCAACAGATTTTGAGGCTGAAACTTTCGGAAAGTCATATGGTTTTGTACAAAATGATGCTTTTCTTTAATCCCGGTTACTGTTTTATCCATATTATTGGTATTATGATGCGCAGCCGGAAACTTTTTTTTTTAATGAAATATTTCATACAAATATTACAGACGCGGATGGGTTATCGGTAAGAGGGCGAGCGACTGTGGGAACAGAGCGAACAAAACTTCTGAATTATCTGTATGCTCAAATTATCCGTGACCGTGTGGGCAGACAAGCCACCGAACTCTACTCGAATCTGCTCATGATGACTTCCACTCTTATTGTTAGTTTTTCCTCTCATTTTCTACTTCCTCATTTGCCGCAGAAACTGTCGTCAGCTTTACCTGTCGGCATTTTATTGTATGTTCAGACAGCTTCCGCAGATAGTGAATATTGACAGCAAATTTTGAGGTAGATGAGCAACTTGCTATACTCGGCTCGTCTCAGATTCGATGGGAGACGGGTATTTCTCATAGTGCAGCACTTCGGAAACTGGCTTGCACCTTCATCTTAAACAGTTTTTCACACGACTACAGTGCGAAAAATAAGGGTCCTGAAGCTTCAAATATATCTGCACATATATGCCATATGCCCCGCAGAGTGAACCCACAGAGTGAACCCTGCACATACATGCCATATGCGTTCCAGCACCAGGAGGGCCGGTGCGATTATGCGTTTTTGCACT